TCTGGATGTTGACTTTAGGATCCCTATTTCTGTCTTTATTATTAAATAATTCCTGCAAATATTCTAAAATATTTGGTAAATATTTTAGTCTGAGTATCTTCCATGTGTGTGTATTCTTTGTATACATTTCACCATACTAATCACTTTACTTTGAATGTTGTCTTTTTCTATGCTTGTAGCAGGCAGTCCCGTTGTCTTCCCCACCCTCTGGGACTGGGACATAAGGAGTCTGGTCTCTATCTTATGACCATGTTTTTCCACCCTCCAGAATCAGTTTTATGTCTTCATCCTGTCCTACTCCTGCTCTCCTGGTTCTTGTCTGTTTTTTAAGCAGATTGTTTTGCTTGTAATGCTTCCAAAGTGACTGCTCATACTGTAGATTCGAGGAATACCAAACAGTAAAATGTAGAAATAGGCAGCTCATTTTGTCACTTCTAATTATAAATGATGACAAAAGAGAGCAGAAATTCTTTTGTCAGAAATCCGGTAAATGGACTTGCATTTGAATTAAAGCTGAAAATGCAAACTTTTCTTTTGGAGATTGGGGTCCAATCTTTTGTAGAACTACACAGGGGAGATGTGATGTTTCGTTGGGTGCAGTTAGATGGCCTAAATCCATCTTGGAGCAGGGTCAGTTTTCTGTCTCCCACCTGCATATTCCTGATGCCTCCCTTCTGCATTATTGTTCACATAGTAGCAAAATCCTCTTAAATAACATGAATGTTCAGGATTTGAATCACATTTCTCACCTGGCTGACCATTCAGCTCAGGTTGCAAGCTCTGGGACAAGGGACCAGGGCAGACGTGCGTGGCCAAGGAGAAGGGCGCACTCGCTGGTGGTGATTTGTGCCTGTTGTGAAATCATGCCCTGACCTCTTTCTGAAGAGTACAGTTCTGTTTTTCACTTAGTGCGTAATGACTTTCCACACAAAAAGTGAAAACGGCTCTGCTGGATACTAACTTAAAAAGAAAAAGGACCCAAGTTCTTCTGGCAAGCTCATGTTTTGCAGTTCCTTTTGTAGGAGCAATGGTTTTTGACAGTGTAAATCTCTTATCTTCATCTAAAGCGTGAGAAAAGAAGGCAGGTTTGTTGGGTGGTAAATTACCCTGCCCCTGCCCAATTTATATGCAATAAAGAAAGAGCTGCTTAACAATAAACGAGTGAGCATGAATGTAGCATTAAGGCATGATTTGCATCAGTGCAACTACGGAAATCAGATGCTAAGTTTAACATGTCTTCTGCAATGTACCATCTGTTTAGCTGTCCCACTGCAACACATCTGTCTAGGCTGTTCATAGTGGCTCTCACATGGAGGGCTGAGTGCTTCCAGAGATCTGTTTATGAGGATTCTCTCTGAGAAGAAGGGGAACTGTTCTGTTTTGTTCTGCTTAGCTTTGTTGCTTTCCTTTAGAACTTGATAGAAGCAGAGCACATGCACTGGGTAATAAACGCTAGCTCGTTCTGTCTCCGCTGGGTCTTCAGTGGAAGAAGCCCAGTAACAAGTGTGTGGTCTCAACAAGAAGTAGCTTTGGAGACAGGTTCCTGGTCCTGTTCCCAGTTCTCAGTTGGCTCATTTGTAAGCCACTTAACCCTTCTGTCTTTATTTCATTTTCCCCTATCTAAGTGCCATCTGACAGGCATTCTTAACTAAAAAGGCATTTTGCTATTTCTTAGCTGCTTTTTGGAAATAATTCCCAACACCAGTGCCTCTATCTATCGTGGACTTCTTTTAACTTCCATTGTATCTCATGAGTTTTAGGCACTTCAAAGTAGCCAAACGGTGTATTTCAGAAATCCCATTCTGAAATTCTCAGGCCCTTGGAACAAGATCAGTCCCAAGGGCAGAGTTGCAGCCACAACTTTGGCTTTCTTTGTGTCAGGTAGAGCTCAGAGCTGTCTTTCATGTGTCTCTTCCCTCTCCTTTTGTGTTTATGAATGTGTCATGTTTATCATAAGCTTTATTACATTAAACTTGCATAATTCATGTCATAAAGTTGTGGTAATCATATTGTGTGATTGCAGATTTAAAAAATTGATATGAGGGTCGTGTCCTGTATCTGGCGACTTCACTTGTAAACAATACAAGCTTTTGGTTGAAGGGAGGAGCTTTGTCTCTTACCTAATGTTCATGTGCCATCAAAAATGTGCTTACAAACGGAAAGGAGATGTGCACAGACTGTCAGCCTGAATTGGTGGTGTGGGTGGTTCTTGGCAAAGCATATGAGTCTCTGAAGCCGGTGAGGAAATTTTTAACCATGGTGTCACAAACTTGATGCGTTAGCAACAGATGTCATTTTCAGAAGCCTCTGCTTTCTTAGGGAGCACAGCATGCGAGCAGTATTCACGATCTGCATGCAGAACGCACAGGGGTTGATGGCATGAAATCATGTCTTTTAATACACGCTGGCTAGAAGAGCACCTTGGTGTAACATTGTGAAGCTTTGGCTTTGGGGCTTAATTAGACCAAGACGACGGAGCTCCGTGTCGTGCATGGGAAGTCTGTCTGAAGAATGTCAATGAACTGAAAGTCAGAGCAACCATTCTGTTAAAACAATACTTAGCTCTTGCCCCATGTGGTTTTATTTGAGAGCTGAATGCTGATGTGAGTGAAGTAAAATAGGAAAATCCTCTGCTTTCTATCCTTTTTCTTTCATCTTTCCATGCATGCAAAAAATAAAATGAAATTCAGAAGGGGTGTGAACTCTGCTACACTGGTAGGAACTATTTCAAATTAGCAAGATAAAATGGGACCGCTCTGCTAGTGCACAAAGACTTCATCTAAATTGAAGTCTCTTGGGGTTGAGAGCTACATAGTGCACCAGGGGCAGTTAAGCCTGGCAGTCGTGTTTGAAATATTGAAGGTGGTAGTTCCAGACAAATGAAGGGGAAGTAGCATAAAATAAATGGCATTGATGGCAGCATAACATAGAAAGAAGAGAGGAGTGTGTCTGACCTTGCTGTCTAGCTGATATGGTCTGTCAGTATTTGTGCGTCACCAGCATGCCTGAGCAAAGAAAGAGCTTGCACTGGTCCCTCAGCCTTTTGGTGAGGTACAGATTTATTGGGATCTGAAGGGGAATAAAGTAAAAAAACCCAGTAATAAAAACCCCAGTCCCAAAAGCTGTCTGTGGCTCTGGTGAGTCAGCGTTTCCATCTGACATGACCAAATCATGGAGATTTTTGCAAATCATCCAAAAAAAACCCCAACCAACCAAAAACCAAAACAACCAGTGACCTGGGTCTCAGCCTGAAATTCATTTGCTTTGCAGAAACAAGAGGGTTTGAGTTATTGCAAGTGCAAATTTTCCTTGAAGAAATTTGTATGTAAAAGCCTTTTTTTGTTTTTTCTTTCTTTTTTTTTCTTTTTTTTTCCTTTTTTTTTTTGCATTTGTTTATCTCCAAAACAGGTTCATTTTTTAAAATGAAAACTTGAGCCTTCGGTCCCTCCTGTGGACAAATAGCCTTACCCAAGGTCTTGTTTCATTTTAGAAAAATGAATTGCTGCGCCGGTGGGGTAGTATTGGAATGCTTTCAAAGTTCCTGTCAGTGTTTTAGTTTTGGTTCTTTTTTTCTTTCGTTTGTGGACTTGCTGTGCCTTTTGCCCGGCCATATTTAGTCTGCCTACTAAATGTTAGTCCGCCCAAACACTTTACTTTGTGCACTTAGCTTTGTTTTCCTTTATTTTTCCTTTCTCCTTTTTTCTTTCTTTTCTTTTCTTTTTTTTTATTATTATTATTTTTAATTTCTCTTTTGCTTTCACCCAGATGTATTTTAGACCGAGACAGACTTTGCTCCATGGGCCGGATTTTAGTCCGTGCACTATATTTTAGTCCGCAGACTAAAAATAATCCGCGGATTATTTACTAACTCAATTCCCTCACTGAGAACTACAGAGACCCAAGACTCCTGCTGAGCCGTACATCCGAGGGGCTTCCCGGCTTACAGGTCCCACTGTCTGCCTGTCCTCCCACCCCTTCCCACCACGGAGCGCCAGCCCGGCATCGCCCCAGCATTGGCGCTCCGTGGCATGGAAGTGCTGGTGTCCCCATTGCTGCAGGCAGCAGCCACTCGTGTAGTTCTCCGTGGGTGAATTGGACAGCTTTCCTGGTGGAACTGTGTTGAGTGGGAAGCACTAAAAGACCGCAGGGGGTTTTGCTTTTATTTCTCAGGGTGTTATTCGAAAGGGAGGTGGGATGGGACAAATTGAGGGGAAAAAATTTAAGTAACGGGTGCGACGGGTATGAGGGGAAATAAACCCGCAATAGAGAGCCAATTCAGTCCATACCCGCACTCCTGAGGTGGTACGTCCAGTTCCTGAAGAATCCTAAAGAGATAACGCCAGCAAACAAAATCCAGTGGCGGGGGAAGTCAATCCAAAATGGAGAATAATCCGCGGCGGCCTGAGGCACTCATAGCTCACACAAATTAAAAGCATCCAAATTCCAAAGTAAAGTTCTCGGATTTTTCCTTTCTCTTCAGCACAAATTACAAATTGCTGGGGTTTGGGTACTTTTGGGAAAAAAAACCAAAACCACCCAAAATTTGCATTGTGTCTCTGGGACAGATTTACCAGTGGGATGCACCTTTGGGGACAAAATAACCTGGCCCCATTTGTCTGTGGACGTTTATATCCAGGACCGAGGACTGAAAATTCTTTATGATGGGAATTTCAATTACCCTTTTAGTTCAAGTTAGAGTTTTGATTTCAATTTTTTTTATTTTTTTAATAAATGCACTGGCATTGGAACATAAATTTAATATAGAAATGTTTCTATACTATGCCTCACCATTGCACAATCGATTTTTTGGCATACACTGTGGTGAAGTTGGACTTGCTGCTATGGAGACTGATGTTTAAAGTTTCTAATTGTATAAACATTTTCTATGTCCCCCACACCATGGATTTCTTATAATATTGGCTATATTTTTCCTTGCTGGACTATTCTCTTTTGGATTGACTCCCCCTGTTTGGATTATTTCACTGCATTATCATCTTTAGGACTCGTCAGGAACAGGACATTTCACCTCAGGAGTACGGGTATGTACTTAAACATTTTCTCAAATTACTAGGCCTAGCCTTGAAACAGTGGAATATTTGAGTTCAAACCACATCTTTGAGGCAGCAGCCAGGCAAATGTTGTACCATGCAAGGTGACAGAGATGAGATGAGTACCTACCGTAACTCACTTCATGTTAGTCACCGCTTGTTGTAGGGGAGGCCATGTGAGGCCTTCCTTTTCCATTTATTCCCCCCCCCCCCCCCCCCCATCCCTGGTTTAAAGCAGTCAGGGTAGACTTCAGGAGCTGCCAACCCCAAGTAACTCATTTTAGAGCCAAAGGTAGGCTGAACAATTCTCAACAGGGCTTAGGAAACGGGCGCTAGTGTTTCACTGAAAATGAGTTTGGGTGGACAGAGGAGCATGCCTACAGATGGCAGATTGGTGACTGCTGTCTAGTGTGCTCAAGGTACTTTTCATCCTTGCTTTAAGGGAAACTATTCCTTTTTCTTTTTTCCCTTTTAAAATCTGTGCAATAGCTGATATGTGAGCTGTCCTGAGGGAAAAACACAGCCAAGAGTCAAGTACTTCAGCCTCAAGCTGTGGTAAATCAAGCCTGTTAAAACATCAGTGTGAAGGTTCATGAGGGAAATCTTGGTAGTTTTACTCTCATGTTAAATACGGAGCAGCTTCTCTTGTGTGGATTTACCTCAAGACAAACTCATTTGTGCTACTTAGTGAGGGGCAAAAAACGAAAAGAGCTGTTTTGGGGTTTTTTTTTTTTGCTAGAGATTTTATCGTGGTCAGGCTGTGGCTTGGGAGTGACGCTGGCGTCCACTGTGCACTGTGGTCAGCAGCCCAAGCTCTGCCAGCAGCATGCAAAAGCAGCTTCTCCTGCCCCTCCATGGACTCACGGCACGGTGGTCAGCTGAGGTTCTTTGCCAGCAGTGTTAAGCTGATGCCTTTCTTTTTGTCAGTGTAGGCCTTGTGTGAAAACTTTTTTGGTTTGTTTTTCAACACCCCAGTAGAAATCAATTGTGCTTTTTGGGTACCTGGCTCTTTGGCTCCCCGAGTCTGGATTCCCTGCCACACCAGTTAGTACAGCACGCACTGCAGCGGTCCTGGGTGCTCCCGAACCAGCTGGGCACCAAGGGGATAAAATCTCAGTCTCTGGAGAACTTAGCGTTTGTGTTTGATTCTCATTCAAGAGAGCATATGTGTCTTTGGTTTAAAATGTACTTAAGAAGTGCCTGTGCAAGTTCCTCATCTGTGATTAATGAGCATGTCATGCACTGAACTGTACTTATCTCTTGTTTTGCTCCTTAGTGCCGTGTGGCTTGGGTTCACCCACAGTGGGGCAAAAGCATTTTGGGTTAGCTCCATTTTTACTAAAAAAGCTGGCATCAGAATTTAACACTTGCAGCCACCCCACTCCCTTTTCCCCAGCCTGTATATCACTTGCAACATAGCAAGGCAGAAGTACTTGAGGGGACCATCCACGTCATTTTAACTCATATTTTGCTTTTGACATAATGAGAAAGGAAGATGGGGGTGTGATTAGTGGTGGGTAGGACTGTTCTTAGAGGACTGAAACAAAGCTGCAGTGAAGAGCTCCTATTTGTAATCACTCAAGGTAAAAAATCTGTTAAATAGTTGGTTCTCTTGACACAATTTTCAGCTGTCCTTACAAATACCAAATGTGCAGGAATTATCCCAATAAACTTATGGGAATGACTTGCCAGAATAAGGTCACGGAAGAAGTAACTTGCAAATTAGAGCTAAGACGTTTCCTGCACCCCACCCGTGCTTTCCTTGTTGTTCTCCAAAATTGAACAGCAGCCTCCATAGCAACAATCTGACCTGCCTGCCTGCAAAAGTCCGTGTTAGTAAGGCTTCATTCTCTGGCCACAAAAAAAAAAGCACCCCAACCCGAAACCATAGCAAGGGCCTTATTCAGTTTTTACATTCAGTGAATCCTGCTCATTTGAACCCTCCTCCCCACCTCCACTCCACCCCATGTGCATGGCTGGAAGCACCTCTGTGTGTTTATCATGATTTTTGAATGAGTTTCCCCTTCATTCTTCAAGTTGTTTTTTTTTGAGTGCGCTCTCATGACGTCTCTTGCTGGCATTGCACCTTCACTCTAGTGCAAGACATTGCAATTAACCCTTTCTCAACCCCAGGAACTGGATTTTCCCATGCTTACTGGAGGACTTTGATTAGCACAATCCACAACTTGTTTGTTCCAGCTTGTTGGGCAATGAGAGGTTTAATTGCTCTGACTTGCTTCTGGTCAGCACAGGAAAGAAACATACCCAGACAACCTGTTTCTCCTTGCTTGTTTTCTGTTTTTCTCTTGTTTTAGGTCTTCCGGCCCCGCACTCCACCAGAAGCAATCGCGCTATGTAGCCGTCTGTTGGAGTACACCCCCACTGCCCGCCTGACTCCCCTGGAGGCCTGTGCGCACTCTTTCTTCGATGAACTACGGGACCCAAATGTCAAGTTACCAAATGGGCGAGAGAAACCTGCACTCTTCAATTTCACCACTCAAGGTAGCCTGTGAGCGTTGAAAGATCCCTCCTTTAGGAAGGAGCACTTGGATAAATGTTTGCTGTGATGCAGGTGTCACTCCCCCAAACGTAAAAGTCTCTGAGCAGGACTAAGGTTATTAAGTCGTTCCATAACCATCTCTCTGTTTCAAACAGAGAGGAAAGGGACTTTGGAGAAATGGGTTATGGGATTTTCAGATGCCTGGTGCCTTCAATTCAAATCTTATGCAGGGTACCAAGGGTTGTTACTACTGGATTGCATCAAGAAGGTTTACATTTGCAGTTCAGTGTCTGCATCCTGGCTGCTGGCTTTGTGTGAAGTATCGCGGTCAGCAGACCATGGAGATGAGATTATGGTTTGGAGGTGATCCTGCTCCATCGTACCTGAAATACCATAGCGAGCGGTAATGCATATTAGGTTTGGCAGGGAGGTTTGTAGTGTTGCTGCCCATTTTGGTTCTAGGTATGAGATAAATACAGAGGTGTTAGTGTCCTGATTTTATGTTCTATACAGTTCATCTGGCATCACATTGACTCAGTCATTTAGAAACTGTAAAAATGGCAGATAACTAGCTTTTTATTTGAAGCCAGACCAGTATCAAATTTTGAAGCCATTGATGTGTGGTTTGGGTTTGGTTTTTTTTCAACACAAGTGAAAAATGTAAAACTGATATCCCCTTAGAACAGTTTTGCCTGCCGAGACAGAGAATGTGAGAAGTATGGCATATAAATATGCTAGTAATTAATTCTGGAGCTTTCTTGACGCGATTAGCTGCCAGTTCGCATCCTTTAAGCACGAACAGATCTATGTGCATTTTCTGTTGAAAGTCCAAACCACCTTTTGGCTGAGTTAGCATCAGTGTAATTTTTCAGCCTCTTTCGTGCATGCAGTGCCCATCTGCCAAACTGTGAAACAGATCCCTCTCCTTCAACATGTGGACCCTTTCATTTAGGAACAAGAACCAAGGGTGGCAGGAAGAGAGCCAAAAAGCTTTGTGTCCAAAGCACAAACACCTTAAAGCCATCAAGAAAAGAGCTTGTGCTTCCAGGTCACTGTCCTCTGTGCTGATTTCTGCATCTACTGTTATGAATTTAGTAGCTACATCACAGGTCTTTCCTTATTACAGTACCCATGAATTGCCTTTTCTGCCCACTCAAAGGCCGTCTTCAAGTAGCTAAGATGGTTCTGCTCCCCGTATCATAATACCACTTCACCCCTGTTCTTTTTGATGTTATTTCCTACTGTTTCTTAGTGATGTTAAGATTGGGCTCATCTACTGCATGAAAACCAGGATTTTAGAAAGAGTTGGGAAGCTTTATAATGACTTCCAGTAAAAATCCTTAGGGGAGAAATAAATGTATGTATTGGGAACGTGTCCCTGGTTTTCCACTAGCCAGTGTGGAAACTGCTGGGAAAGCTACCCTAATGCTTAAGCAAGTTTAAAGCTCCTTTGCCCTCCTTAAGGAGCTGATGTGCTCTCCCCTTGCACAGTGACTCATGGAAATGACAAGATCTCCTGGAGCAATTTCCTTAAGATTCAAAAAAGCGAGTTTCTGTCCTAAGCAGGTGCCAGTTTCACCATCTAAAAAGGGAAGGCAGGACAGAGACTGGCCATGAACACATTTTCGGATAAGCTCTGGTGTAGGTGACCAACCGAGCTCAAATAACAAAAGTTGAGTTTTTTTCTTTTTAATAAGTAATTCCATTGCTTAGCACAGTGATTTTAAGACCTTTGTATTTAACAAATGTGCATCAGTGAGTCTCACGTATCAACAGTCCTGACTGCAACCAGGGAAGTGGTGGAGTCACCATCCCTGGAGGTGTTTAAGAGACTGCTCTGGTGCTTAGTGACATGGTTTCATGGAGGACTTGGCAGTGCTAGGTTAATGATTGGACTGGATGATCTTAAAGGTCTTTTCGAACCTAAATGATTCTGTGATTCTGAGTTACACAAGAAGCTTTTGCTCCTGCTGTGACCACTCTGCAATCCTTGCTCTTTAGCCAGACTGTGCAAGACTGTTGAATTGGCTAGTCCAGAGCAGAAATCCCAACTGGGAAATAGATCCAGTTATTGGAATCAAATGATGACTCATGTTAAGTCATCTGTGGTAATTTAGAAAGCGATGAGAGACATCCTTTTGTTTTGAGGAGCATGTGTTTTCAACAGATAATATTAAGTTTTTAGAAGTGTTTTATTTGGCTGTATCCAGTTGCCTGAAACCCATGAAGTAGGAGGTAGCTGCAGAAGGCTTGAAGGCAAACCTGTTAGAAATAACAACATAAATCTGACCATTAATGCACTGGATTGATTCTCAGAAAGAACTGAACTGTCACACCAGATCTGCTGATCTGAGAAGTGATGCTGCTCAGATGGAGTCTAGAAAACTAAGTGAGAGTATATGGAAGATAAAAGATCATGGCCTTGGCTGCCAGCAGGATTTGCAGGGCATGTTGGTGCTTAATCTATTGTAGATATGGGATCTCTCGAAGAGAGCTTTATCTGGTCATTCTTAATGTCTTACCTTTAAGTTCCTATTGCTGTTTAAACAAATATTATACGTTAATTGGGGTTTGAAGATAGTGTTTTGGCCAAAGAAGTATCTCCCCTAGCCACAGATCTGGCTGTTAGACTTGCAAGACAGAAAGCATGGAAAGCATTTTTTTCTCATAGAAGCTGAATTTTCAAACAATCTGTGAAATGACTACCCTAAATTTCCTGAACTTGTTGTAACATGTCAGTGGTTGAGCTGGGTCACAAATGTTACTGTCACTCCATGTTGGCCATTAAACACTGTAAAATCATTCTGTGATTCAGCACTTAGGAATGGTTGTGCATTTCTAACCCAAGTGTTTCAGTGTACTATTTGAGTGCCACCTAGGTTTTTCTTTTAAGGCAGTATTTCTGCTCAGGTCCTAGAGGGGACAGTGGGACAGAACGAAACTTGCGCAGAGTCCAGCACTCTTCCAGGCTAAGGAGAAACTGCTGGAACAGCCTGAGTTACATGGAGTTTGTTATTGTGACAGAGCAAACTGATACAAGACTAATTTTTCCAGGGGCTTATGGGAATGTTGATAAATGAAACGTCACAATGCTGATAAAGAGCACTGCACTGTTTCCCAAGACCAAGCATTTTCTTGTGTCTGGGGAATGAAGACGATCTGGTGTTCTAGTGAAGCAGACCTTTTCATTCCCATCCCAGACACACATCTCCTTACTGGATATGTAAACTGGCTGCAAATGGCATGATTTGATCAGAGGTGTTCTCCCAGCTGATGTGAATGGGGGTTGGGTCTCATAAATGAATTGGGATAGCAGCTCTGTTAACATCATGGTATTGAAAGTTTTGTCTGGATTGCCTTGATCACAGTACCTTCTTGCCGCAGCAGTATTGGTTATAATTAATCTAGCCTTGAATTGCAAGTTTGATTAGTTAAGCAAGCTACATTTCAACAGCTTGACCTTCTCAATACTTTGGCAACTGCAGATACTACAGGTCAAGCTTTTTGCATGGTATTGACATGTCTCATCCTTACAGAGGTGATAGCAGCATAAATATGATAGAACAAAAATGCAAACAAGTTCTCAAGCAAAGCTGCTGATAAACTTCAGCCAAGAGTTCAATTTGTGATCATTTCTTGTCTGAATTAGCATGCTCCTGAGGGAAGCATCAAGACATTCAGAGCACGCTGAATTTAAGAAACTTCATACCAAGAAAGATAACTTGGGGGTTGAGACAAGAACAAGATGAGTCTTGTAGTCTCTGTGCGCATTTGTTAAAGTAGCTTCAGAGAAATGGTTGCATTTACCTTAAAACCAAAAAACTCTCTATACATGCCGTAATGGGTGCTGCAAAAGGTGGTGTTCTGATGGCACTGGGTGAACATATGGGAGGAATGAGAATGGGGTTGAGGTGCCTTGGAAAGGTGGTGTTCTGTTGGATCAGCTGCATCTGTGGCTGCAGTAATGCAGACAGTCTTATAGCTCCATCCTCAAGACACCACTTAGCACTGGAAGATTGCAAATGTCATTTGGTTTCCTTGATGGTGCAGCTCTGCCTTTGTTTGGGTCATAGCTGCCAGTGATGAGCAGAAAATAATGAGGGAATGATAAAAACTTCCAGAAAGTGAGGTAAGCAGCAGATTCCCGCTAATAGATTTGAGAAACAGCTTGGATAAAATATTAAAGGAGCAACATTTTCTAGCACAGAGCAGCTAATACCCAAGGTAATATTAAAGTATAGGTTTATCACTGCTGTTCAGCTTTGACACTTGAGGATTCACGTTTCTTCAGTTTATTTTTCCGTTTAAAATGGAGACTTACAAATGCTGAATTATTACAAACATATGAATTGTGAATTATTCCCACATGAATTTGAGGATTAGTATTTGTACAAACGTTGTGAGTAGTGGGGCTTTGTAGGTGGGCTAGCTAGGTCTGTTTAGACATGAATGGAGAATTACAGGATAGATTGGATGGGTTGTAGGTAATGTAGCAACTTCTGTTTGGTTCTAGACTGGAGCTTAGATTCGTAAGTGCTGAAACACAGTCTCAAAATGTGTAGCAGTGAGCAGGTGAGAGTCTTCTGCCTCTTGCCCTCACAGCTGTAAAGAAACTTCATGTAACTTAACAGAGAAAAAAAATGAAATTTCTTAGTAGACTTCTGATCCCTTTAGGCCCTAAGTTTAAAGCTTGTGTTAAAGAGAAGCAATAGGCTCTTGAAAATAAGCACAAATAATTGAAGACTTTGTACGAAACTCCCTTACTGAACACATGGTGTGATTTGGATAGCCCTTGCTATCTGGAGGTCTTATGTAAAAAGCTGTCTATTCTCATTTCTCCTCCAGATGACCTCCTGGAGCTCCAAAATTCGTCAGTCTCCTTTCTGTGAGGTGACTGTTCACATCCTTCTCTGGAACTGGATGCTGCTTTCTCAAGAGGCAGCCAGTCACTCCTGTTTCTGAAGCAAACAGGACCTGTCTTGTCTGCTCAGTTCCACCTTCTGTGAGGCACTAGATTCTCTTGAAAGGGTGCCAGAAGATTGTCATTTGTTGGCAATGCGTAGCCCTTATCCTCCCACAGTTGTGGCTATAAGATGCCTATTTTTCATTCTGATACATGTTGAAGCTATATTAGATTTGGAGCCTAAAAGACATGACTATTTTAGCCTTGGTTAATGTCCTCAGAAAGAATGGTTGCATCATTTTGTTGTCCATTTAAATTGCCCTGATGATCAATTCCCTTTGCTTTTCCTTGTGCTTTTAAAGGAGGTGCCACCTCTTCTTGGCCTCGCTCAAGGAGACTGGTCTTGGGTTCCTGGGTCCTTGAGAAAGTGATGCTAAGAACCAAATCCCTTAAGCTCTTTGGAGCAACTGTTGGAGCTGCTTGCTTGCTGAACCTGTGCCCAAAGCAGCACCACTGTTATCAGCCTTCTTAAGACTGATTGCAAGTGGGTTTGTGAAGGGAATCCTTCCAGTGCTTAGAAGGAAACAGCATTATCAGGCTGCTGATAAGGAACAGGCTTGGCTGGTTCTTTGCTAACTCCCAAGCTGCTGTCTTTCTCTAGGAAACAATTCCATGCACCACTACTTGTAGTTCTGACAGTCTTGCTCTGGAGACTGCTTTGCCGATTATCCCTGTGGTTTCCTCTCGCTGGTTGGCAAAGAAGAAAACGTAACGTGACCTTTGGCTGTAAAGGCATGCATTTCACCCAAGGTTGCTGTTACGGGGGGATCCCCAGGAGCTGAAACTGCATGCAGGGCTCTTCGTGGTCGATGAGCTAATGTGTTTTGTTCCACCTCCCCTCCAGAACTGTCAAGTAACCCATCTCTGGCTTCGATCCTCATCCCTGCTCATGCAAGGAACCAAGCAGCTGCTTCAACCCCTACAAACGCTACAGCGGCCTCAGGTGAGAACATGCAATTGCCTGCCTCCCTCCCCACCCTCGCTCCCCCTGACCAGGCACCTTCCTTCTGCTGAGGCCCATGAGCTGCCTTGGCACAGGGTGAACGGGGAGGAAGGACTTCTTCCAACATCACCTAAAACTTGGTCTTGGTGGGTGGTCATTGGGGTGCTGGCAGTGGTCACCAACCCAAATCCTAACCCAGGGCACTTTAACTCTGCATTTGACCTTATAGTTTGTTGGTCCTTCTCGCTCAGACTTCCACTATTAATAAAATCACCTGTTGTTTTTTAGCAGTCCTCATGGGTTGGTTTGCACCTAAGTTCTGAGCTTTCAGCTGGTCTGAAATTAATACTGAGTTGGAGCATGAGCTTGCACTAGATGCCCAAGAAGAGAAGAAACAGCTAGCTCAGTACACGTGGCCTCTGTGGAGCTTGGATGCCTTCCCCAAAGGCATTAGCACTTAAAAGTCTACTTAGGGAGTTCAGTCATTGTGCTCACTGCCTCGCCTAAGTAGCTGCAGTTGCTTCTTATTGAGTTTGCTTGTGTCAACTTTGGGTATGAGGCAGATGCTTTTTTGGCCAGCACTGAGTGAATTTTTTTCTTGCCTCTGTTGCTCGCTCTCAAGTTTCTGTCAGAAACCTTTTAAAAGCTCACTGTTGGCCTGTAGCCACTCCATACTGTATTCAGTTCCCAGTGAAAGCTTAAAAGCCTGCTAATATCAGCTGGGAGACTCCCAAAGAAAATCCCAGGTGCTGCAGGATGTGGTAGAGGTGATTCAGTACATGGCAGTCTTCCTCTGAGTCAGCTCTGAGTCAGCAAACCAGCCGGCTCTCTTGGGAATTGGGCAACCCAAGGCAGGCTGCAGAATGGGTGTGCTTCTCTACGTAGCTTGTGTGCATGTCAGTCCCATCTGAGAAGGGCTCTGACCCCTTTTGGAGGTGCAAAATGCCTACTCAGTGTAAAATAGCTGATAAGGGGAATCCCTAATTAAAAAGGTAGTATTGAAACGTGAAGGAAAGCATTTGCAGGTTGGTGTGTTGGACAGTTACCTGATGCGCTTGGTCCAGCCTGTGCTGTATAGAGAGCGTTTTCATACTCCAGGACAGCCAGATGCACCCAGATTTGAAAGATGAGGCCTCCCTGAAGATGTAGTAGCAGTAGGTAAAAGATACAGCCTGTACAATTGTATGTCCTCTGAATTTAGGAGAAAGCAAAATTGGTATCCTCAAATTTAGTATGTTTGTTTCATACACTTGGCAATATTTTGGAGATAGTCATGTTCTCTGTTTCCCTTTTCTGTGCATCTGTTGCTCAATAACTGAGAGAAAAAAAGCAGATGAAGTAGTAAAATTGATTGGAAAACCACAGAATACACGCATGGAAAATTATTTCAAGCCCTCTGAAAAATATTGTTTCACTTAATGTCCCCTTGATGACTTTTAAGGAGTTCTCTTTGTCAAGATACAAGTTTTGAGGAATTAATGGGGTTAAGAAACCACTTTCCAAGAGCTCATATGGGGAGAAATGCATTTAGGCTGAGTCCTAAATGTGAAGTATACCCAAAAATAAAGAACAACAAAAAACCTCACCTTATTGATGTCAACAGTTTTAAATCTATTTGCAAGCACCGCACCAAGTTGAGACAGGACCTGTTATTCATAGTTCATGAATTCATATTCATGGAAATACCCTTGCAGCTTGGAGAAGAAGTTGTGAGATGAAGTTCAGTATTGGGCAACTTGCAGCTTTGTGTTTCTGCAGCACGGCCCACTGGTAGTTTCTTATTCACATGAGGGTCTCACAGCAGGCAGTGGGAATTCCATGGGAGTTGTGATTTTTAGGATTAGGCCCTGTATGCAGTTATGTTAATTTGTTGTGCTTTGCATACTGATGCCACGCTTAGCAAGAGATTCTCAAATAAGGGGTCCCTTCTTTCCCTATGGCCCTGCACATCCCAGAGCAGTAGATTTCTACTCCTTCAATAGCTGCTAAAGCAGCATGGGAGCAACTCTCACCTAACCAAGGGCATCCTGATGGCAGGAGATGTTTCTGCGACATGTGGCTAAACAGTAGAAATTCAGAAACTAGAAAGGTGATGATGAAGCAACAAGACATAGCTCTCAAGGAAGTTCAAAGGGCGAAGCAGGTTATATGTGACTGTAATTCACATTATCTGTGTGTAACTTGCATCTCCCTCTAGCAAGCAGAACTGATACTGAGGCCCAAGCTTCCACTCTTACGGTTGCCTACTCCATAAGCTTGAGGCATAGGTGCACGTACATTGAAATGCAGTGTACTTGTTCATCACTGTAGATAACCCAGGTGGGTGGTTGTTACCTGCTTGCAGGCAGTTACTCTGTTTTCAGAGCTGTCATGTTAGTATGCAGCCATGTCAGAATCTCTGCTTTTTGACAAGGTGTAAAGCACAGCTCTTTATCGTGCATCAAGGCAGGGTCATAGTTAGAGAATAACTTCAAAAGTGAGATCTGTTTGTCCCAAGTCTACTAAAGCAGTGTTTGTCAGGACACTTAGCAGTGCCATGGTGCTAAGAGATGGGAAGATTGGCTTTTCAGCATACCACATTAACAGAGCAGGTTTCATCAAGCCAGCAATACAGCTTGTGCTACCCAGTATGTCACAAATCTGCATTTTAAAAATATAGCAAAAATGAATAAATTTTGTTAACTGATAGTTTCACAGTGGTGATTTCAACAACCCAATGCAACAGTATTCTGGGATCATGATCTTAAATGCAGAGGAATTGTTGTAGGCTGATTTTTAAGTGTTAAAATGTTTTTGTTGCAAATTTCCCCTTCTCTGGAGTGATAAAGCTGTATTTGCTGTACTAATAGAACCTGGGGAGTATGAAGTTTTGCTGCACCAGTGTTAGTAAATTCACCTGAAGGTTTATGAGAAACTCTTGTGTGACATTAATGACATGTCTAAAGCAAAGCAGAGGAAGATGGGAGTTAGTGGCCCCTGCTTGAAGTGATGTGCTTGCTTTTTGTGGATTATATCAGCCATTGATCAGAAATGCCAATGCAGCTTTATTTGTGTGGGTGCTGGCTTGATTAGCTTATGGAGGATGGTTTCCTAGCTGTGCAGCCAAAGCATCAGCGAGGGGAGCATGCACACCAAGCCAAACGTGTATCTGCTTGTGTGACTCTGTGTTTTGCTCCCTGCATCAGCCAGCAGCAGTAGTTACCTCTCAGTCAGCATTAAGATGGGAAGAGCTTATTTGCCATCTGCAGGGGAGCTGTGTCAGCAGGGATACTGGGGTCATCGTCTTGAGCATCCCACTGCGTTGATCCCGTGTAATCCCAAGTGTGATAGCGTGCCTGAACTTTCAGCAACAAAGCAGGTCAGAGCTAGTGTTACCTGCCGGTGTGTGCAGTTGAAAAAGACCACGGTGCTCAATAAAACAACATTTAGTACATTCAGAGTATTCCCATCAAGGGAATTTTGGGAAACTAATTCCTTAACCAGAAAAGGGGCAAGCTCAGGCATCTGCAGGCTCAGCCCAGGGATGAGTCCATGACAGTTGGAGGAGTAAAACTTGCATGTTTCGGGCTTTTATGTTCCAGTTTTGCTCTGAGCCCTGGATTTCTACATCCATATGCAGGCACAATAGGAAAACCAGGCTTTTCCCCTCCTCCTTCTCATCTTCTCAGCTGTCCTATGAGAACTCCCAGGCTGGTGGAAGCTTTGTTTCTGTATCTTTGTTGTTAGAAGAGCAGCACAGTCCATCAGCATTACAGATCAAACCAGCTAATGCTCTCCTTAGTGCTAATGGGCTTTCTCAGACTGAATTGGCACCTCTGTCTTGCTGAACTGTAGCCCTCTTCTTCCTTTCTGGGAGGTTTCTAAGGAGTAACCCTCCAAGAAAGCCAAGGTGCTCCTCAGAGGGAAAAGCTGAATGGGAGGAGGTGCTCTGCCCTGATGGGAGATACTTTGCCCTCTGTTTGGAAGCACTTTTGGAGGTGGCTGACACTTAAGCCCTAATGTGGTTTCTTTGCCCACACAGGCAGAGGTGACAGGGCAATGAGGCTGCCCTGACCTCAAGCCACAGTCATCTGTCCCATACCAGAAACCTCCTAGCTTTGCTCCCCACTGCTTTGCAAAGCAGATGTTCTAGCAGCACTGCTGAAGGCCTAGATTTTCTGCTCTTATGCCCAAATACTGATGCCTCATGGTGAGAAGGAAAGCAGTGTCCAGAGACCCCCATATTTGAATTGTGCTCCTTCCCCTGGCACCTCAGCAAAGAGAAGAAGCCTCTCTTTGTTCCCTAGATGTCTTGTTGAGGCAAAGAACAAGCTGGAATATCAAAATACTGCATTTTCTTGCAGGTTTGGGGCCACTTAAAGCTTTGAGCAGGCTCAATGCTTTGTCCCAGCCTGGGTGGGCTTCTGTATGTTGTTGTGAAAGGCCCCATGTAAATGGTCCTGGGCTGCCTCACCTGATTTATTTCCTTTTTAACATGTGGCCTATATGTTTCTTAGCAACTCCCCCACTGGTGATGATAGAAAAGGAGCATATGTTACAGACATTACATGAAGTAGCTCCATCCCCTCCTCTTTTTTCTTTATCTCTGCTCAGTAGCAGTGTAATGATAACGATTTCAGACTCTGCTGTCTTCAAGAATAGGAGATCAAAAGGCGCATTTCATTTCAGCAAATGGAATAAAAGCACTTTCCGTGCACACACAGGAATCCTCTGCCAGCAGTACAGACTCCAGCTGGACTGCTCGCATCAGGCATGGCAGATGTTGCATTAACTGGAGCTTATCCATACCTGAAAATTAATCTAGACCAGGCACAGCGAGAGTTTGTAACTATAAGCGTGGTAAACTGTCAGCTGTCTGGCTGGGTCACTTTAGATTTCCATGGTCATCATTGGTCTGCATGCATGTGGGATTTGGGAATTGCTCCTTCAGGGAAATTCTCCACACAGGAGGGTGTCTCTTGTGTGCAAGGCTAGCTTTCCACATAACACATGGCACTGTCATCATGCTGCCTCGGTGCTTTAACTGCGTGAGCTGGTTTTTATCATGGTGGTCAATCCTTCATGACGGAGGGGTTGCAATAAATTTGGGATGAGAGGAAAGGGAATGGAAAACTCCCAGAGCAGTCATCTGGCATCCTCTGCCCCCGAGAGGATTTCCCTTTCTTCCCACACACTCCTTGCAGCATTTCCTTTTCAAACAGGCATCATCCTCTCTTCCTGCTTACCCCTTGTATTCCTGGGTGCTGCTGTTTGTTTGATTTCCTATTTTCATCACCTTTGTCTATGTCTGTTACTTGGTTTGTCACTCAGCAAGTGCTGCCCATCTCTAGACTCTCATTCATTCCATTGCCTTTGCTCACGGCTGCACTTCCAACTATGGTGAGGTCAGTGTGGCAAGAGAGGAGAGGGGTTTTGTTAGCAGGTGATGGTAGAGCATAGCCTGGCTGCATTGCCTCATGAGCTCTGCTGTGCTGGGGAAGTATCACTGCACCCCCATTGCCAGCCAGCTGTATTTTGTCATGTCTGTCATTGATGCTAGTCAGACTGTCCTTCGGTCTGAGGTCGGTAAATCCGTCCTTCCTTTTTATGAGCCTTTTCCCCCTGTGTGTTCATATACGCTGTTTGCCCAGTCTGCCCTCTTCTGTACTGAGACAATAAGTCTTGGCCCTTGTTTTCCCCTGTTGCAGTATGGATGGCTTACCTTAAGTTAACCTTACTTAAAATAAGTGGGAAAAATGCCTGATGGTCTCTCCTAGAAAGCCTCTCTTAATATCTTTTTCACATCTCCTATTTATTGTATTGAGAATTTTATGTGTTTAACCTTTCAGCCACTTACTTTTTTGTGACCGCACTAGGTAGATCCTGTGTGGAGTGGTCTGAGATGAAGTTGGTGCATTTTTTTTCCCTACCAGCTCTTCTCATACCAAGAACAATTAGAACACCTGATGCATGTGGCCTGTGAGAACACAGTTACAGTGCGTTGCCCTTCGGGATCTCGTGGCAAAACCTGTCTTTCCTTGAGATGCACTTTGACATACGCCCCTGTGGCTGGCTTCCCTGTGGAGCATTGTCATTCCCAGAGAAGAGAAGGTGTTAGAGACCATTTGTTGCAGAGAGCTGATCCTCTGACAGTGTCATTGGCTTGTGTAAACCTCGTCACTGGCTTCAGGCCTTGATGTTAATCTGCTTCAGCAGTTCAGGGGGTGGCAGATCCAACTTTGGTTGAGCACCATGGGATAAAGCAGTAGGCTTGAAGGATGTTTTCTGAGGCAACAAGTGCATGAGTTGCACATGAACACACAAGCTGTTTCTGCCAGGGGAGCAGGCTTGTTGCTTGCGTTGTCTGCACTCATTCACACCCTTTCCAGGCAGCTTTATCACAAGAAGGCCCAACAGTGAAACTTCAGCATCAGTGTGGTGGCCACAGGTACTTGACGTTAGCTTTGGTGATGCAAGCGTGCCTTGTCTTACACTTACGTAGCGTGGGCAGTGTTACCTCCTGCAGTATCTGCCAGAGCCTGGCTGGGTGTTTACCTGCTGCCCTGCAACCCTCAGCCCTTGAGCTCGCTTGAAGACCGCCTTTCCCAGCCTCTCCCCAGCCCAAACTGTGCCATCCACAGCCCCTGAAGCCAAGAGAGCATCCTAACCAAGCAGCGGGAGTTGCGGGTTTCCCGGCGTGGGGAATGTCGCGGCTGTTGTTTCCAGATGTGTGTGTATTTTGGAGGTAATACTGGTTGTTTTTTTTTCTCTCTTCCCTTCCTCTCTTGCCTGTCGTTTGCAGATGTTAACGCAGGAGAACGAGTTCAGACCAATAGCGTAGCTACAGCATCAGCCTCCAACTCCACCTGAACCAGTACCAAGCAGCCAGCTGCACAGGAAAAATCACCAGTAATTTTGAGTCTTGCTCAGCAGCACTGGTCTCATTTGGAAAGAAAATTAAAAAAGAGGAGAGGAAAAAAAAAACCCAAAAAAAAAAAAAAAAGGAAAGAAAACAAAAAAAAAAAAGGAAAAAACCAACCAACCAAGCAACCTGTTCATTTTAGTGTTCAATTTTTTATTATTATTATTGTTGTTCTTATTTAACCTTGTAAAATATCTATAAATACAAACCAGTTTCATTGTATTCTCACTCTGCAGGGTGTCCGGGGCAGGGGACTTAGGTGGGGGGGGAGGAGGGAAAGCGGAGCAATACAACACACCAATGTCTCTCCCCTCGACAATCTCTTCATGTTGGAAGTTTGCTGTTGTGTACTTCAGAACCAGGACTCTTGCCTCATGCCCTCTCCCACAACAGAAAGAAGGAAAACAAAAAAAAAAACAAAAAAGGAAAAAAAAAACACCAAAACAAAAAAAAAAACCCAAACCTCATTCTCTGCTGAAATTTTCTTTTTTTTTTTTTTTTTTTCTTTTTTTTCTTTTTTTTAACCTCTTTTTTTGTTTTCTTTTTAAGTGAAGTTTTGGACTTCGATGTAGTTACACAGCTTGAATTTGGTCGGGAGCTTAGCAGGGGTCATTCGGCAGAGCTCAGCCTTTCTTGTCAGCCAATCCATTCTCCCAGGTTGTCTGAAGAACTGCCCCGGCTCGGGATGGGGAGCGGGCAACGTGGTAGGGAAATAGGTTGCCATAGGGTGAGGGGGGGGGTGGGAGGGTTTGCTGTGTATCGAAGGCTTGACCTGCTAGTGGAAGCCTTTCATTGTAAAAACCAGTGCTAGCAGTGAGGAAACCTGCAGCTTCAGTAAGGGAAAAGTCTACCCCCGTGGGTATGTATAATATAATACACACACATGCACGACCGCAGGCCGTTAGCGTTTGGAAGCAGCTCCTTTGCCCCGCTGGAGCTCCTGCCCCGTGTCGTGAGCCGGTGCCGGCACCCAGTCAGCTCCCATCTTCAGCAGAGAAGAGCGGACGAACAAATCCCTCGGCCTGACTGGGGGTGTTTAAGGGACTCTTTGGGAAGTGGCCGCTGCGAAAGTGGGTTTGGTTTCGGGGTTTATTTCAGTTCCTCTTCTCTTCTCCCCAGCTTCCCCCGGCTCTCGGTTTGGACAGGCTGCCCTTTCCCAAGGTGCGCCCAGGAGGAGGACACCAGGGTTTATAATGTGAACTGTTAACAGTCTACTGGTTTCTTTTGTAATACCTTCCTTTTTTAACGGCAGTTTTAACTCGCAGGATGCCACGTTCTCCGATAGCTCTGATTTTAAATCCACAGCTAGAACCTGTATTTAATTTCATCTTTTTTAACCTCTTGCTGCTTCTTCTTTTTTGATCTCTATTTATTGATGCGTGTTGCCACGTTGCCATTATGGTTTTACATTTGGTAGAATATTAAAATACACATCCAAGTGCTCTCGACAGTAATATGTACCTGCTGACTTGTAGGAAAGCTGGCTATATATGAGTGTGTGTGTATATATATTATATAAATATATACATGTATACATAGATACAACACTGCTTTTTCTATTTTGTCTACGATCTCGAAACAGTCTGCCCGGAGCGCGAGGTGAATGCTTGTTCTAGTCCATCTGGTCAGGGCCCGGGTTTCCTCCCTGCAGCGGCGCGTGGCGCGAGCATCCACATCTCTCTTCCTGAAGTCAAAGCAATATTCCTCGGGAAAGGGTCAGGTGAGCGGCGGGACGCAGCCGCGGTGTGGAAACGGGACGTGCGGAGACCTAGGCTTGCGGTGGGTGTCCGCTCCCCCCCTTACCCCTTCCGGAGGAGCTGTAGTCCATCGGCTCTGGTGCTTAGCAAGCCGTTCCATCCGACCCGGGCATCTCTTAGGCAAGTGGTTGCTTTTCGGGAGCATGGGGGCTGTTGTGTGGCCCAGGGGCAGGCAGCAATAGCAGCTTCGGCGTGCTCGGCTGTGACAGCAGAGCTTTTGCTCACGAGCTCAGTGCGTTTCGTCTTGTTTTGATGCTGTTGATGTGGGATTTGTTTTGTGGCCACTCTTAGCAGCCCTGGAGCTGGGAACAGGCCTGCCCTCTCCCTCCCGCCTGGCACCCAGCACGAGTCTGGGGAGGCAGGAGCTGCTTCAAGAGGTGAGTGACCACCTTCGTGTTGTGTTTGCTGTCGGGCACACACAGGCGCGCACACACAGAGAAAAGGGGGTTTTAAAGCTTTTTTAGCTGTTGTTAAATCCCGGTTGGCTGCATCGGAAAGCACACCCGCATTTAGAAACAGGCAGCTTTCCAAATCCTTCCCTGCAGCTGAAGAGGAAGGGCTGAAGAGCATCTGAACGCGAGAGCTCAGCTAGTCAGTGTCCCAAAAGGTAAGTGGAAGGGTTTGGCTGACCCAGTGATCCAGATAGATGCGGGAGGCTCCAAAAGCAGGGCAGCAGCAGGGGACAGATCCATTCTGTGGGCTGACACTGCTGAGGCATTGGCCACAGGCATTGTCATGTTAAGGTAGTGAATTACACAGTGCTTAAAAGCAGGAATACAAAGAATGAAGAGAAGGTGCTGCTTGTGCCAGGAATTGTGGCTGCTCTTCCCTTTCCTACCCTTCCGCCTTCCAGTTGAAGGCTGGTGATGGGGAGCGCAGAGCTTTCCTCTCTGGCTTTGTGACCGTGTTGGCGTCTGTGTGTGTCATGTATGTGTGTGTGTGTGTGTGTTAGGCTGGGGAGGGTCGGGGTGCCCCTCTGGTTTTAGTTCTTGTTTTCAAGGCTCATGGCAGGATCTCACACTCTTTTATACATCAGATCCAGGTCTTTGAACAACCGTTTTTGTAAATAATGAGACAGAAAAAAAGAAAAAAAAAGGAAAAAAACCCCAATAAAAAACCTCCCCCAAAAGCTCCTCACCAAATTCAAGCGTGTACATCCGTGCTATTGGTTGTTGTTTGAGTTTTATTGTTTTGTATGTAAATATGTGGACCCAGGAACTGTTATTAATGAGCAAAAAGTTACCGTTCAGGGCAGTGATTCTGTTTAATAATCAGACAAAATGTAGACGAGCTTTTTAAAGCCATATAGTTTTAACTCTGTACAGTAGGTACCGGCCTGTATTATTGTAACAATAACTCTAGCGATGTATAGTGTATCTATATAGTTTGGAGTGCCTTCGCTTCCATGATTTTTTGAATTTTATTTCCCTTTCTTTTCCCCCCTCCCCTCCTTTATCAATGATGTCTCTCCCCTTCCTCCCTCCCCAAACCCGCATCTTTGCTCCCCCCCTCTGCTTTCTAACTCTTTGAGTGCTGTAAGGTTTCGGTGATACCCTGATCAGTAGCAGAATGAGAGGAAACCGTCTCCACCATCATCCATTTCATGGGAGCTGTGGCTTTGGGGATGTCTCCAAGTTGCCCACCCTGCCCTCTCCTCCTCCCGCTGGCAGCCACCTGTTCCCTTCGGACACTTGCCCCAGAGCTCATTTAGACTTTGCTCATCAATCCCCCCCAGTCCTGCAGCTTCCAGGAGGCCCGGCCTTCCCACCATCCCTGCGGCTGTGCCGGGGGCAGTGGCCGGGCCCCCAGGGAGGGAACCCCTTGCATCCCGCAGGGATGCTCTGCTCGGAGCCCCTCGGCCGCTGAGGAGCAGGGGCATCGCTGTAGGAGACCGTGGTGGTTTCTTCTGCCCGGGGCACTCTCCGTTCCCTTCCTTCTCCTTGTTTTCCCTGCCGCCCCTCCCCAAAGTCACTTTTTGTTTTCTTGAGATAAGTTGAACATGACTCTTGATTTCTTGTGCCCAGCACGAAGGCCTTGTTTCTAAAACTAGTTTGCTTGTGTTTTACTACCTTGTTAGTATTCCACATAAGATTGTCTTGAATGGGAAAACACTTAACTCTTTACCAAACCAAAGGTTGCTGTTTTATTTCGAAGCATCTCGTGTTCATTCCAGTGAAGCAGAGGCTGCACTTTCTTTCTGGTGACACGAAGGTCAGTGATGCCAAGCTGTTGATGACAGTCTGCTCAGAGCTGTCCCTCTCTTCTGTTATTCTCTTTCGGGCTTGTTTTTTAACCCAGTCTGGTCTCGATCTGCCCTTTACATCAGCCTTGCTGTGGTGTGGGTCTCTGAGCCGGACTCGATCGCAGTCTGTCCGCCCCCAGTGGCTGCCTGATCGAGACGCTGGTGTTCTTTCACCTTACATTTACCTACCTTGCTAGGGAAAGGCAACAACAAAAAGACCTTCAAAAGAAAATTGGCTGGTAGAAGATCCCCAACACTTTGTCCTCTGATTTCGAAGCCAAGCTTTACCTAAAGTAACGGCAGGCGCCTGTAACTTGCAACTTAAAATCCCCCCCCCCCCCCCCCAACCCCGGTTTTCAGTACTTGGAACAGTAGAATCCAAGCAGCCTGTCAGACACGTGCTCCTGTACTGGGAACCTCAGCCACCGCAGAGGAAAAGGAAAAGCACAGTGAGGGTGTTCGGTCCGGGCTCTGCCTGTGGGGCACAGCCAGCGAGTACCCCGGGGTGGCAGCTCACTTCCACGGGGCTCTCGGCCGCTTCTGGTCGTAGTTGGCTTCGTTTTGCAACACTGCAATAACAGCAAAACGGACAGGAAAGGAAAACAGTACCTAAGGGGTTAGCTCGAGAAAAGTAGCTTCCTTGTGTTGGTCTTTCTCCATTTATTTTTAATATATATATATAAAATATATTTATATATATATAATTTGCTTGCCTGTAAAATTTGCGTTCATTAACGTGTTGCTGATGGATCACTTGGGCCTGTACACACCAATTAGCGTGACCACTTCCATCTTCAAAAACGGAAATCTAAACAAATATATATATATATATTAAGGACTGTGGGTTGTATACAAACTATTGCATACACTTGTGCAAATCTGTCTTGATTTAAAGGAGAAGCAAAACCTGTATAACATTATTACTACTTGAATGCCTCTGTGACTGATTTTATTTTATTTTTTTTCTTTTTTTTTTTATTTTTTTTTCATTTGAAATATAAACTTTTTTTTTTTTTTTCTTTGTGGAAACTATGCTCAATGTTTTATTATTTCCCCTGCCCCTTACTCCCCCTTGTAAATACGTTTTGTTCTGTGTGACTCGGTTCGGAACTAGTTACCTGGTACTGTAATTTGCATTAAATAAAACGTAGGTTAGCCTGGAAATGAAATTTAAACAATACCAAGTGTGTGGTCTTTATTTCAAACAATTGCCCCTTTCTTTCCTCCTCTTCCTCCCTCGTCCTTCTCTCCCTTCTCCTCACCTCACGCCTCTTTCCACTCCGCAAGAATGAGGTGGACGTGGATCTGTGTAATGATAATGGAAAGGAAAAGCCACAAGAAACGAGCGTGTTGTCTTAACTGAGCTGTGTTATTCCATGCTGGTTTCCAAGAGGTGCCAGCTTGTCTCCGATACCGTTTGATTTGATGGAGAGAGGAACCCTGGGACGCAAATAACTTCAAATTAAACCCAAACAATCTTCCTTCGCCGTCCACCTATAGATACGAACTGAAGCACCTGTGTAAACGGCTGGCTTTGAACCCTGCACTCATGGTTGGTTGGGGTTTGGTTTTCTTTTTATCATTGGATCCCATTAGTAATGTTCTTTGGTGGTGATCTGTAAAGTTTGTCGAGACCACGTCCAGTGGACCGTTCCTCCAGCAAATCAGCAGTAGCTCTCTCTGGGTTGGGTTGCCGGTACTGGATAATGTGTGTGTTCACCATGACGTGTCTATTAGCGCAAAAGATGAAACAAACCTCCTTGTTCTGGGCTCTGTGACCCGGCCGGGGCCGCTCTGTCGCTATCCTAAAGGCTAGATGCGAGGTCGTGTGACTGCTGCTTCAATAAAAAACAGATTTCTATTGCAGAGAGCCTCCTCCTGGTTTGTTCCCGGGCCCGGCACGCGGTTCCGCTGCAGAGGTGGGAGCGGGGCGGGAAGGGAGGGCCCGGCCGTGCCCAGGGCTGGGGCATGGGGAGAGCCGCCTCCAAAGAGCACCTTGGTGTGGTGGTCGTGCTGCCTGCACCCAGGCAAAGCTGTGCCCCCCAGAGCAGCGCCAGCCCCGGCTCAGCCATGGGGGCATGGGTCTGCTTTTGTTCAGCCCCCACCACTCAGCCCTGCACTGGATTACCTGGGCAAGGGGACCAAGGAGCTGACCACAGCCTGGCAGCACCAGAAGCAGTGATGCCATCACTTCACTTACATCAGTCCCGGGACCTCGTGCTGAGACCGGAGCTGCTCTGCTCGACAAGTCTTTCCCCTGAGACTGAGGGCGGCCGCTTACATCGGCAAAGGCATCGCTGCCTGAACTGCAGCACCTCGCTGAGTGAGTTCATTGATTTGAAGGTTGCCACTGCTCATCACAATCCGCAGGAACTCAGCCTGGTGGTGAGTTATCCTTGGGCACTTCTCCTCCAGACATGGGCGCTGAGGTCTTCTGTCTCTCCTGGCCTTCTCCCAGGGTGAATGCAAGCTGTGGGCTCCCATCCTTCACTGTGTTTGCACAGGAACCCTCTGCTCCAGTCTCTGGTCTCTCTTCTGAAGGTCAG